TTACCAAAGCTCATATATTCAATATACTCAAGTTGCTTATACTAGCATTTTGATATATAACAAATCTGTTAAATTAGTCTGTGTAGACAGGATAGAAGCTACATTCCCATGCCAAAACCATGATTTTTACTGTGTTTGCAGTCTCATCAATCCAAACTGACAGCCTCATAGTTTGCAACAGCAGCATCTGACTACTTGTTGAGCCCCTTTTATCTGATTTGTTGATTAACTGCTTCAGTACCTGCAAGCCAGTTATCATGTCAAATTTGTTTGGTCCCTTAACTCTGCTGAATAATTTGTCATATTGGTCCTGAGTGCCATGGAGTGGCAGTACTTACATAAAGTAGGTGAATTATAAAGAGGAGAGATGGAAAGATTCAGAATTCCTTTGCATTTACATTTAATTTAATGGTTTAACTGTAAGAGCCTGGATTCCATTCAGGGTTCATTTCAAATGTCAAGTACACCACATTTGGGTGCTGTCTCTTCTAACCTCTCATCTTCTCTTTTGTGTACAGACTTGTGCAGTAACCAATCCCCTTCTTGAAGACAGCATGTCTAAAAGCAATAAGTAGAATACCCCCACCAGCTGGTATTTGACAGGGAATGATTTATGATTTTTTTTGGTAGGGTTGTTGCTCTCTTTTTCAACACCACTTGCTTGTTCAAAGAGATTGCTTTTTGTGTTGACTGTTTTGGCTCAGAGAACCTTTCATAAATTCTTACTATATTTTTAATTTGTTTTGACTTTTCTCCTCTTCTTCTTTTTTCATAAGTCTTCTTCAGATACCCCACACAGTACCAGCTTCAAAATCAAGAGGGAATTTATGGTGGAAACATATACTTCCCTGTGAAAATTGCTTTGAATCAGCAATCATTTTTCAGGCAGTCTCTTCAGATCGCTTTCCCTGGTTTTCTAGTCATAATGTAACATTTTCCCTGTACCAATCAGCTACTAAATTGTCTATGCTGCATCATATTCATTACATCTTTTATGGAGAGAAGATGGCAATGAACTAACTAGCTATGGTGTGTTGAATCCTCGTTTACCTGCATTCCATTTTGTAGGAGTATTTGTGCAATTTATTAAGTCCATATTCCCCCTCTTTCCAATGCATATGGACAGGAAGAAAGTGAGAAAATGTTAGCTGTGAAGAAGGTGTTCCTTCAGTCAACCCTTCTGTCACATACTGCTGTCTTGTCTGGATCAGTGGCTGTCAGTTCAAACCACAGTGGCTGAAATAAATTCAAGAGCTGGTTTCACTTTTTGGCTGCGATCATTCCATTGTGTTAGTATCTGACATGCCCCATCATTATCAGAAATGAGTATCCTGCCCTAGCATAGCAATACAGTTTATGATCTAGTAGCACTCCTTCAGCCAGTGCTCCTTCCATCTCGTGGAAGCAGACAAGGTGAATTGGCTGGTACCTGACAAATGTCCTTCCCTTGGTTTCCTTCTTAGTACTTTGAAGCTGTGTTGGTTTCATCAAGGAGACAAAGCACGAAAATCTTCACACAGATCTAAAAGTAATCTTAAGGCAGGTACATTAACTCATTTTTCTCAAGGAATTTCCCATCTGGTTTTATTGAAGGTCTCTGTGTCCACACTTTCCTCATTACTCAGCAGGAGTGGGGAGTTCGTGCTGTTCTTATCATAATGTGAAGAGAGGCTTCTGCACTCCAATGCTGATAGTCCATATACCCATTTCTTAGAATCAAAAAGATTTCCCTGTCTTAATTTTTTGTGTCATGTCTCTGTACAATCTAGACCTCACACAGCCTCATCCCTCCTGCATTTTCCACTTGGCTTCTTTCAATCATATTTTTTTATTTATAACGATGTCCTGACTGACTGATGCTTTAAAGTTACAGCTGACCCTTTAATATCAACTGAGTAAGTTACCAGGGAAGCAGTGACTACTTCAGCTGTGGTGATGATGTTGTTTTCAAACTTTCTTCAACTAATGAGCGGTTATAAGTAGTAATAAAGGTGTTTGTTGGGGCCACATGTCCCTTGGAAACACTCAGCCCATGCTAATTACGGTGGGTCAGTGAAGAGGTCTGGGCTCATAAGTAAGTGTGTGGGAGGGGGCATAGAACAGTAATGGTGAGAGGTATTGAAAATAGTTGCAGGAAATGTTAATTATGCAGCTGGTTCACATAAACTTCCTCCTCCCATTAAAAGCAAAGCTCATTTTGAAGACAATTATAAAATCTGTGCTTTATGAATCAAGCTCCCTTATGTGTCAGTAACTGGTAATACCCAGATATATGAAACTGCAATGGGATCAACAAAGAACTCATCTGTGCAAGGTTGTTTTAGTCTCAATTAAAGCTGGAAGTAAAGTTTTCCGTGACTGTGCTTCCACATTAGGGCCATCGCACAGCTTTGCTCTGTGGATTTAATTCAGATTCTGCAGAGGAGATTTTTCTGCTGACTTCCATGACCTTTGGACCAAGTCTGCCTCTGGTTTGTTCCTGAAGAGCCCTATCCTGTCTGACAGACAGACAGTGCACTTCCTCAGGGAACTGTGCACCTGTAGGACCTGGTTCTGCAGTTGTCACAGTGTGAGTGACAGAGCAAAGCTAGTTACTTGTGGACGTTTACATGGCTATTAAATTCTCTTAAGTTTTAATAAAAAGTTACAGTGAAGGGAAAGTATACAATAAAAATAAGATGACGAGAGAGATGTGCAATTAACTAATTCTTGACTTATAACTAAACAGTATATATATATATATATATATATATATGTATTTGTGTTGTTCATATTGCTAAGAGATTGCCCAATATTTACTATTCAAAGAAGCATAACACTGTAGGATAAAAGCTGGCTATTTTCTGCTTTGTTCCTTGGCCAAACTCCAGAGCCAAAAAGCTTTTAAGATTTAAATAAATCTGACAAATACTTAACTTGGAACTTGTGCTTATGTGTGCTTCATAGTCACAAAAGTGTGAAATCCCCAGTGGCAGTTAATGCTCTGAGAATGATGTCTGTAAGAGAAAGAGTGTACTTGCCTGTTAGTATGTCTGCAACACTGCAGATAACTGGAAGAAATTAATAAATAGAGATTAAATTTTCATGCAGACACTGAGAGAAAATGTCCTTTTGATCCAAACTAGAATCTGGACAATTTGAGATACAAGAGTGAGTTAGAAAAAAGAACTTTTGAAATATGTAATCTTTGATGTCACCCATGTTTACCCAGTTCATAATTTTTCTTTTGTGTGTTTCACTTATCTTGAAGATTTCATAGCAAGTAGTGTTCCCCAAGGTTTAAGAAGCATTCATTCACTGCCAAAAATGGTATATGAAATTATATCTTTCAGAGAAATAGGCTTTTCCCTGATAAAATGCAAATGACACATTTTAAAAAGCATCATATATAGAAAGTGTGCTGCAGGAAATTGAAGTGTATGGAATGTCCCCACCTATCTTCTCTAAGGACTTCTTCAGCACTTGTTTATTAGAAACCTCCAGTCAATAGAAGATGTCTGACCATTGTCACATACTGAAGAGCGTTTTATTTCCAAAGTTAGAAATTGTTTGATAGACCATGTTAAGTGTTGATCAGCCTGTGGGCATCCAGCTTCAGTGAAACTTGTGAGATGATTAATTGTTTTTCTTCAGGGCAGCTAAGTTGCAAAAGCTTCTGCAAAACTGATTTCTGTAACTGAGGAGGAGTTCCAAGTCAGCTAATGTGTCTCGATGGTATTGAGGATGAATGTTGATGGAAAATATACTCATTTGTTCATAAAAATAACATTCTAGCAAAATATTGATGTGCTGTAATCTCTTTGAATGTACAAGGAGTGATGTAACTCAGTGTGCTCAGTAACTGTGTATCAATTGCAGAAATCAGTAAATCAATTGTTTAGACCCACTTTAGCCCAGATGCATAATTTTGTGTGTCATACAGGTGGAAGATTTTAAAAGGGAGTCTATCATCCTTCCACTTCAGTAGTTAAACAGTTTCAAGTACAAGCATGTGCTGACCACCAGCACGCAAGGAGATTATATGTAGAAGAATACCTTTTGATGTTATTTTATTTAGCTTGAGTTGGTTGTATGTTTTTCATGCTATTTCAGTGTGTTTGCATAACCAATAAGGACACCAGAGTTGACTATTTATGTTTATTGAATAATTCATATCAAGTAAATACTTTTGGAAGTCTGACCACAGAAAGTAAAAGCATTCCTTTGAGAGAAGTCAGAAATCCTCACTGGAAAGGATTTCCTCTTGCTTTATTATTAAATGTCTGAGGAGAAGGCATGATTTCAAGGGGCATGACTGAAGTGTGGACACACCAGGGTGGGAGTTCTAGTGTGGGCTCTACACAGTCAGGGGGATCACTGCTGTGATTGAGATGTTCAGGGATGTATTAACCGTTTGCACTCTGTAGCATCTTAGGTGAAAAGGGTTTTCCTGTGCCAGTTCCAAGTCAGACTATCAAGTCATTAATTTCTTTTGTTCCAGTTGAAACTGTTCCTGTCTCTCTATAGTGCTTACTGTCTGGACAGATTGTAGTGTACAAGGACTCAGGTGTCCAGAATGTTATAATTTAGAACTGAAAAACTGCTCTATTTAATTTTGAAACAATTGGCATATGTTTTTTCTCCCTCACTATTTACTGATTTCACTGATGTGAGAGGAAACCATATAATTATTCTATTTCAGTAGCATCAGAACAGAAATTTACGAGCCTGTTTCAGTCATTTAGGAACACACAGTTGGATTATTCTGGGGTCTGGGCTCCTGAGAAAATAAGCACTCTTCCTAAAGTGGGGGAATTGATTCTCAGCTTGTTCCATTCATATGGGTCCTTTAAGTTCCTTTGCTTTAAGTGTGTGACAAAGCCATTAACTTGGATGGGGACATTAACACACTGAAAGGTAGGTGCAGAGGTCAGCAACAGGAAGCCAAAAATGAGTGAACAGAATGTTTTGGTGATCTGGCAATTTACTTCACCAAATGCAAGTGCTACACAATTATTTTGTCATTCCTGTTTTTCACTCTCCAATGCTGAGCTCTTTCCTGGGTGCTGACGCTTTTCTTCTACCCTGTCTCTGCTAACATCTTCTACTAAATCAAGCAACAAGCTGCCTTTGTGACAGGTGAATGAGGCCTGATGGCCTGTGTCATCTGAGCTGTCAGAATTCCAGTGCCATTTTCCAGGATGCTGGTGTTTCTCACTGTATTCTACCTCATAATTCCAGCCTCTTTTGCTAGGATGCTGGTGCTTGTACATTGGATACCTTCTGCCTGGATGTTCTTTTTTGGATAACTCATTCATGTAGGTTAGCTGTGCCCTAGGGCTGTTAGCAAACTGATCCAACTGTGACTTTCTGCCAGGAGGCTGTTGTCTTTTCAGCTCCAGATAGACATCAAGGTCATCTTCCATCTCTCTTTTTCCTGGATGCTGCCTCTTCTGAATGTCTCCATAAGATGTCTCTTCCTCAATAGCTCTTTTTCCAGGATGCTGTCTCTTCTTCAGGTTACTTACATACTTTTTCCCAGGGTGTTGTCTTTTGGAAAGCCATTGTAGCAGAGGGGCATTTGATTCTGACCAAGGAAAAGAATAACATTAACAAGATAATCCTCCCTAAGGAAGTTGTTACAGGAGTCTGTGGAGCAGGATCATAATCTGTTGTTCTTTGAAAGCCAACTCAATATTTCCAGCTACCAGTCATAACACTATTAGTATCTCTTACTCATTCTTAAGCTCTTTTTAACATTTCAGGTCTCGGATCAACACAACCAATTCTCAGCATTGATGTGAAGAGGGATGATGGCTTTTCCTGTGGGCACTTGGGGCCAACTCATCTTCCACTCTGGAAGGGCCCTGTGCTCCTGTGCACCTCTGTGCTGTTTCTTGCAATCCCTGAGTCTAATCTTCCACTGCTGTGACTACTGGTAGCAGAGCATCTACAAGGTGGGAGGTGCATACACTGGAGCACCCTCGAGCATTCCCAGCCACAGAAAAAACCCGCCTCTGTAGGGGGGTAGGAACCAGTGGATTAAGGCAGTAGGTGAATGGTAGCACCCCCACTTCGAGTTTACATTAGGTACAGAGTCCACAAGTGCAGAACGTCCTTCATGGGTCCTCTTCCCTAGGGAAGTACCCGCCAGACAAGCAGGTTTTCTGTGACAGGCTTCTACCTTTTTATTATGCAGCAGCTGCTTAGTGATAGTACAGCCTTTCCTGAGCAAAGAGATCTTAGAGAAGAAAGCATCTGTGAAAAACTGTCAGTCAGTGTATTGCAGCAGCCCTCTTATCCTTCCCCTCCCCTTAATTCCAGAGCTAAGTATGACCATTAGAACCTGGAAATCATACCTTGGATCTAATGATCTCAGCCAAGCGCTATCCCATCACCAAATGGGTGTCCCCAGTGAGATATATACCTTTATTAATCTCTTCTTCCTTTTCAGCTTTCTTGAGGACAGACTGAAGAATGAGGCTTTCAGGTCTCTGAAGGATGTCATCCAGGGGACTTTTTCCCATGTTTTCCCTTTCCTCTGGAAGGAGATGTCCCCCGTTGAAGCAAACACCACACAAGGTCAAGCAGAGGAGTAGCAGGGGCAGCTGGAGAGATGGCATTGTGGGACAGGATTCCTGCAGCTTCCATGGACAGAGAACAACAGGGGAGGAGGATCAAACTAGCAATAACAGCAATTTTTCCAGACACTGAAAAATAAATATGGCACTGCTGCAGATCTCTTAGGGTCTTTCCTCATTTTGGTTACTAACCTCTCAGTTTGTTTTTTATCCTCCAAAGCATCTAAATTCTTCATAATTAAAGCCAGGTAGTTGATAATTTTTCTGGCAGAATAATTATGATATGAACTGCCTGAGGCACAGGTGATTCTGAAAACCAGTGATTTTACTCTGTCTTCTGCCAAGGGGCAAACGTAATTTCCCCCTTGAACTCTGTATGCACAAGGTTCAGGCATCTATGCCTGCTATTCCCACGAGGCAATTCCCTTTGCTAAGGGTTCATTTTAAAATACTGAGATTAGCGGCACCTCCACTCCACCTTTAGTTAAAGCCAAACCTAAATAACCCACTAGTTTTTTAATAATCCTATCTTTTTCTATACATTTAAAGTAGCCATGTGCCTGGGTATTTGTCAGGCTAAGATGTCAGTTATGCTCTGTGGGGCAGGGAGATTTCTTGGATGGAAAGAAATGAGAGAAGTACCTTATATTTTTTTTCAGAGGCATAGTAATAATAATTGTATCCTCTATTACCTCTTGCCCAGATACCAAGTGTTTTTCTATTTCTTCTAGCTAGCACTGAATTCCTAACACACTTAGGGATTAATTTTACAGTAAGCAGAGTTCCTTCAGTAGAATGGAATACATCTTTAATACTACTATAGCTGTCATTTAGCTTAATTATATCTTCAGAATATAAAAGAAATGCACAATTTCATGAAGTCCTACAAATTTTCCAAAGAGAAAATGAGTTCATTACCTTTGTTATTGGCAGGTTTTTATCAGTTCTGATGAAATCCTTGAGCAATAGACCTAAGAACATCATATAGTCAATTTGACTCAGAGCAATCTTTAGACAGAAAGGTAGAATCTGATAAAAATGAAATTATTTGATAAATTACCTGATTTGTAGTTTCAGATTTTTGCTTGATGCATCTGCCAAGTGCTTTAAAGCTGTTTGTGCACCTGAGCTTCAGAGTTGTCCTTTTGCTGCTGCAGGCACACGGAGTGTCCAACAGAAGCGCTGCCGTGTGCTCTCTGCATGGCTCACGTCTCTGTACTTATATGGTTCTGCCTCTGGACCCTTTATGCAAACAGCTCTGAGGTAAATTAGGGGATATGATGTGTTCTTTTTTTTTTTTTTAAACTGCTCTCAGAGAGCTGCATTTTGAATGCATTTTAAGATTCACACAGTTATCTGCTGGCCCCAATATATTCATGCTCAACTCCCAGAAATAGTTATTTTCCCATTCTCTAAAGAGATTATGTTGAATTTTATGTAACTCAGCATGAGGAAAAGGAGGTTTTCTTTGCTTAACAAAACTAAGCTTGTTTGTCCTCTGTTAAGCAAGTGTTTTGGAGCAAAAGCAGAGAGGTAGGTAATTAATTAGGTTAGGGGGGAAAGACAATGGCAAAAATGTAATGGATTCTATTTAAATAAGTTTATACCATGGCTTCTTATTCTGAATGACACTATACAGTTTCTGGCTCACAATTCCATATTTTTTTGGCATAGCCTTTAACAAAGAGTATTTTAGAATATGCGGTGCATAGCATTAAATATTAGAATATGTTTATGTTGCTGCTATGTGCTTCAAAAAGCATTAGACGAGTGTAACTGGAAATACGACTCCCTGCCTTTAATTCATCTGTCTACTTAAGATACTGCTGATACAGGGGCACAACTGCTTCACATTCCCTAGGTGTTGTAACTCCTTAAGGTCTCTCAGGTACGACACCTGAGTTTAAACAATTACTATATTGCCCTACAAATGAAAGTGGGCATTGATGAAACTGTCTTGTTTCATTCTCATTAAAATCTCTTCTTGACACTTTTGAGCTTGCCTTTAGAGAGCGTGGGTGAAGTCCTGTATTAAAATTACATTCCCTTGCAAAGCTCCTCAGCAGGTGCAAAATTATATTCACAGTGCAATACCCAGGACTTCCAGTCTGGCCAGCTTTGCCTCTCTGCTCAGATTTATTTTATCTTATTTTGGACCTGTTCAGTAGAGTTTTAATGCTTTGTTTGAAGGAAGAAAGTTAAAATTAAGCACCTCAAAGAGTTGAGGATTTTTAATGAAAAATATCCTTTTCCTATTTCACAGCTGGAAAACTGTTTTTAATACGATATCCTTCCTTTTAGAGTTCTGTTTTGCTTTTTTCCAGCTACATTTTTTTTCAGTTTTATTTTCCCCACAGGTGATTTTTCTATTTAAAAGATTTCCGGAGTTTTATTTTATAAGTGTAAATGTGCTTTCCTCCCCTTTACTACATGATTACTCATGGCACTGAGATGAATTCATGGGTAGGAGGGAGAGTTTGTTTTCTCAAACTCCAGAGTGTTCCAAGCTATACCTTTTTTGTCTTGTCACAAGTGCATTGACACCCCAGACTTGCCCAGAACTTGTGTCAGCAGAGGGTTTGGCTCCCAGTCCACATCTAAGTCTGTGGTAAGTTCTAGAATTGCACAGAGGTATTGAACTACCGCATTTCACACCTAAATACAGCATTTCAGCACTGTGATCCTCAACCCCTTTGTCCAACAGCTGTATTTTCTCATGTGTGCGTCAAGTCCCTTGATCTTTTTTATCAGCTCTGTTGAGGGAGTTCCTGATTTTTCTTTTAAACATTCTCAAGGGAACCCCAGCTTCTCAAGGGGCTTCTAAATGAAGAAACTTGGAGACAGACAACTCCGTGAAGCCAAAGTCAGACCCGTACATGTGATCTCTGAGGACTGAGGTCTGTGTTGCTCCCCTCTTCAGCCTGCATGCTGTTTGTGTTGCTGACTGCAGTCACTAACCACACGTTCCCAGGAGCCTGGTGCCTCTGCTTGTTTCTGCCATTTCAGTGTTGGTGTTCATAGGAATGGGGCCTTAGCGTTCGGCCGGTCACTGGGCACACAGTTGGTCCCTAAATAGATCTCAAAAGTGAATAATGAAAAAATCTGCTGCTAACCATAGTCTCATCTCTGTTTTAAAGAATATAGACACTCATTTTGTGCAGTTAGTCAGCCATTAGTGCAGTTAGACTCACATTGTGAAATCAGGCAGAAAGTTCTCCTTGGCAGATTTTTGAATTTTTACATTTTACTTTGACTGCCTTGCTCTTGTCACTGTTGCAGATAAGTAACTAAAGTACATTGCTCATTTTTACTATGGCCATCCCTCCAGGAATCCTGAAATATAGAAGTTGTTATGGGAACTACCTTTTTTACCTATAGGAATAAAAACTACTCTTGTTTGGAATTAGCGGCTCACTGCATTTGTTACCAGTTTCACTAGGAGAATTTTAAGTGGTTTGCTCTTTGTCACAGAGCCGTAGTTTGAGTTAGGAAGTGAGACCAGAATCTGGTCACTTAGCATTCATTTATTCAAAACAGATTTGGTTTCTGGTAGAGCCTCACAAGACACACATCTTTCTCATTTAAAGGGTTACCTATATGACATTACTTCTGTGTGCAAGAATGAGAGAAATACCTCTACTGACTACTTAAGGTATCCCAACTGTACACTGTCACTAGGGCTGTAGTTTCAATATTCTCATCTCTTTAAATAACTTTATCCTCTTGGATATTTTCTGAATTGTATTTCTTGCAATGACTGCAAATCTAAGCTGTTCTGTCTGAACTTCCTCTTGTTAACAGTGCTGTGAATTAGGGATGACTTATTTGCTAACAGAAATGAGAGGCAAATCAGCTCTTTTGTTTTCTCTGGAAAATGTAAAAAAACAGTTTGTTTGTGTCACTCCTCCCAGTTTGTTCCTTGATTGAGCTACTCAGGCAGCAAATTAGGAAGATGGATATTAGTAACAGGTGAACAACTCTCTCTTTCCATGTGATCTTCTTAACATGATCCTTCCTGTGTAAGAACAGGTAACTAGTTTGCCCTGGAGGAGGATGTATTGTATTTTTGTGAGAGGTATAATTCCAGCTTTTCTTCATTTTTAATGACATCAGAGTGCCAGAGTGTGTACAGCCACAAAGGTCTTTAGATAGTTTAATATTAGACCCACAGTACAGTTTTACAAGGGAGGCAAGCCTTCAGGAGAACAAACCTTTCTTAGACCTGAGGAAATGCATTCATATCTGAAAGTTTGTCTCTCCTTTTAGGACTAAAAAAGGACTTGTGATCCCCCAAAACTGTCAGCTTTTCATGGCAATAGATGTCACTACAATAGAAGATATTATACCTAATCTACAAACATTGTATTAAATATTAATCATTACTGGAGGCAGGGTTCCAAGCAACTTCTATCTGCTAGTCCCCAAAATTCATTTGCTAAGTAAATGAATGGACCTAGACAGTACTGAGTGGATGTAATGACACATGAAGGAGTTTTTTTGAAATGCATCCTACTGTGGTCATGGCCAGTGTTAGCAAAAAAGATCCATTTGTGGAGACATACCCAGCCAGGTGGACTTCACTGTGGGCAGCAGAACAGCTTATCACAGCCCAGCTGGTTTTGCTGCAAGTCATCACAAAATCAAAACCCTTGAGGAATAAGAAGGACAGCTTCCCCATTCATTTTCATTAGCTGTAGATATAAAATCTAGGAAGGGAAATTAAGGTAACTGGTTTACCTTGTTCTGTTTCTTCCAGCACTGAGCCCCCACCACGGTACTTCTCGTGTTGCTTAGTGCAGGAGTCTGTAGTGGTAAACACTTGTTTGTGTTGTGAGCTCGGGGGCCTTTTGTGGGTGATCTCTATTTAGAGACAGGTGAAGGAATTGGCCTGGAGATTTGGTGAAATTATTAGAAGCTCTGCTAGCTGATGCTGAATGGCACTTGAAGCATGACCTAAACATGGTAAGGATGTGTAAAGGATCCCTTTTGAAGGCTGTGTAACCTACAATTGACACCTCCTTCTCAAAAATTCCAGAAATGACAAAACCTTCTGCTCTGACTGTAAGCCCCAGAGTTTCATAGTTTTGGAAACATAAAAGTGTTGAAGCCTAAGTTTTTGAATTCACTGAAA